CATTATTGCAGGCCATTGTAATGTTGTTGGCAGAGGCTCCTATAAATGACGCAGCATCTGTGGGGAATTGGCAGTTTTGTTCTTGCTTGCTGTTGTACAGGTTATAGAGACTGTAATGTATCTTGCCGAACAGCTTCTTAATCACGTGAATGCCACGGGTATCTACAGCTATAGTCAGCAACTGAGCGTTTGCCGGATCGGCACCAATATTTATTTTTTTCGGTTGTTTTTGTAGCCAATCCGGTCCACGTGATGACACAGCCGTTCGAAAAACTTGGACATCTTCCCGTCGCAATAGGCGGCATTGTTGCCAGTCGTCCTCCTTTCCTTCATCTTTGCTATTTAGTCCGGGAACGCTACTGACGCAACTTAATGGTGGGAATCGGACTGCCACGTAATCCCCATCCACCTTCAGAACTTTTCCAACCGGGCCCACCTTATCTTCAACGAATACGACGTCTTTCAGTTGCCACAGCTCCTCGTCTTTTCTTCCCTCCTGACAACTGTTGCCATCTTCTTTAGTGGTAATTCTCTTGGTACGTTTGTGTGAAGTAACACTACCGGTATCACTACATGTGCTAGATGCTGGTGAAGGAGGAGGTGGCATGTCGATGCGATCAGTAGATTCCTTGCTTGTCGAACTTATTTGTCCACTTTTTCCAGTACTTGCTGGCTGTGCGGGAGTGGTCTTGGTATTATCCTTGTCAGCAATAGCGCTGTGGACATTCGAAATCGTTCCCAGAGACTGCGCCTTATCGGACACCGAAGTTGAGCCGACATTTAAGATCTTCATGCGACAAACGTCTGAGAAATCCCACACAGAGTTTAACAGCTGTCCAACTTTGGGCACTCCATTGGTGCACGTAAAGCCAATAGAGCCAGTTTGGTATATAGGACACTTCTTCATAACTACTTGTGATCCTACGTTGATATCTGCGACAACCATTTTAAATGGTTTCTTATTTTTTGTTCGAAATTTATCCCACAAGTAGCGGCGTTGATCGAAAGGGAGGACTCCCCACCAATAAATATTATTGTTTTCGGTCCTAACTGCTGTGTATAGTGAGCAAACGTGTATTGTTGCAATTGGGTCCATGCTGAATTCATTAAAAGCTGTAGCAGCATGCTCTAATTTAGCACCAAGATATCCCAGTTGTTCGTCCATCCAAGTAGCGACTCGATTCGATTCAGTCACTACGGAGCATCTAATGAAATTTGCTGATATTAGCTCCACCTTTTCTCCAATGTTAAGGGT